AAGCTGCAGATCAGTCCAATCCGCTCTCATTACAAAGGCCTGGAAAAGGGAAGAGGCTGCCAGAGACCACAAAGGAAGCCACAGCCAAAATTTAGTCTGATTCATAATTAAAATGCTTTCCCAGAGCCCAACACTTCCCTGGCTGCCTTAGTGTGTTGTTCCCAAGCGTAATTCTACAGGTGTGATTTGAAACAGTTCACCATGTGTAAAAGATTTCTTTGAAAATTCATATTAAAAAAAGTAAATTGGAATTTTTCATAAGTAATAATCACCACCATCATGTTTTGAGTGCTTACTCTATGAAATAATGATAATAATGTGTTGTGTGTTAGCTGCTCAGTTGATTCCAACTCTTTGTGGCCCCATGGACTATATAGCCTGCCAGGCTCCTCTGTCCATGGAATTCTCAGGCAAGAATTCTGGAGTGGGTAGGCATTCCCTTTTCCAGGGGATCTTCCTGATGCAGGAATTGAGCCTAGGTCTCCCGCACTGCAGGTCAATTCCTTACCTTCTGAGCTAATAGGGAAGCTCCGATTATGATAATATAATATTAGTAATGACTAACACTATGTGGCATTTACTATATGCCTGGCATTGTTTTTCATGCTTTTACATGTATTAAATTATTTAATCCTTACACTTATGAGGTAGAAACTCAGTTGTCTTCATTTTACAGACAAGGAAGGTGAAGTGAAATAGCTTGCTAGTAAATGCCATAGCTGAGATTAGAATCCACGTGGTGGAGTTCCAGAGTCTATAGTTTACTCACCATACTTCACTAACTCTCCCGCAAAGATAAACATGAATAAATGAATAAAGGAACGTGGCTTTCCCAAAGCAGAAGGAAAACACAGACTTCAGGTCTGGAAAACCTGGGTCCTTATGTTTCCCTTCAAAAATAACTTGAAAACTTGAAAAGGCACAGTGCTTACCTTGTTGCTATACCTACTCCCTGATACCACCCACACTCATACCCATGCCAACATGGAACATCTGAAGACAGTCCAACTTCCTCAAGTATCACCTGCATAGCCACTTTATTTATGCCAGTTATCTACAGAGTGAGCTGGAAGTTCCCACATTAGCAGCTCCTTCCCTAACACATTAATTTAAAAGGTGGGCGAGGAAGGAAAGAGACTGTTTCCAAACACAGGATTTACATCAGAATTCCCAAGCCCTTCAGGCTAAAACTGTTTTCCTGAGGGTAAGCTAAGGACATCAGAAAAGTATTACCCACCCTTTCGCAGCTGACAGAACAAAAGGTTAAGTGTCAGAACTGGCAGCCAAGCCTCTGAAATAGGAACACTGTACCTGAGAGGTAGAATAACACCATGGCTAAATAAAGTCTGTATACATCAAACAAGTCCTAATTCAGCCACTTGCTGTTTTCACGTATGTGAAATATGACTAACAAAAATACCTGTCTCTTAGGCTTGTTGTGAATGTGAATAGGATACAGTATGGAAGGTAAACACTCCATACATGTCAATGCCAAATGGTCATTTCAGAGACTTGACAAACTCATCCATTTCTGTTTCAGGCAGGAGAGTGCATGAACCGCCCCCATTGACACTTTCCCTTTTCTCCTTCAAAGGAGTCTCTGCACTCAGAGCAGGAGAGGTGTACTGTTGAGGACAAAAGCTCTGGAATCTGCATCTCAGCTGGTCCACTTACTAGGTATAGTGACTCCTGCATCCCATTCTAGGCTCTTCATCTGTGTAATGGGGATGATGATTACATCCCTTATCTACCTCAGTGGGTTATTATGAGGATTTAACCAGTCAATATATGAAAAATAAACAGAACGGTTCTTGGAATATAGCAAAATGTACAGCAAATGTTAATCACTACACTTCTTCCCACAGGTGGTACGTTCCAAATGCTGAGCACACAGAGAACAAGATTATTTCAGAACTCTGAGATATTAGAGCTGGAAGTACTCTTAGGAATCATTTCTAGTCCAACTTTCTCATTTAATAAATGATCCCCAGGGAAGCCAAGAGCTGGCTATATAGCCTGACCAGGATTAAAACTCAGGCCTTCTGATTCCTATCCAGTGCTCACACCACATCACTGTACTTCCTCTCTGGAAACTATCAGGCCATCATCCGGAAAGAGTCAAATCTACTTAAACTTCTGGGAAGAAATCTTACTTATCACTGCTCCGGGTAGCACTTTTCTGGGAGGTGGAGTGGGTGAAGTGTAATCTGTTTTCCAAGAATCCATACCCAGGAGATACCAAAAAAAAAAGTTAGATATCGTATTAATTCCTTTCAGGAACAAGTCAATATTTTTCCTTGGGTAAATATACTAATAAGCATTAAATAAATACTTTCTAAGTTTGTGACACAACATTAAATGCCTTTTGTTTTTTCATGTAATCCTCACAGCCCCTCCACCACCAAGTTGCCCTTCTATGTACTCCTACAGTTACCTGCCATTTCCTTGCTGACAGTACATCACAGTGTCATGTAATTGCCTGCTTATTTGTGCTGATAGTCTTCAGACTATGAGCTGAAAAAAGACAGGGACTCCAACGATCATGTGTACCATTCATTTCGTCTTTCAACAAATATTCCTGAGTATGAATAAGACAGAAATAGTCCTAACTTACTGGGTAGACCATACTTTCCAAAGATGATTGCAGTAATATCTCCCATTCCACAAGCTCTTTTTACAACGTGACCTCAACATTCCTCCTGTGGGGGATGGAAAGGAGGTAGTTAATGTCCCTTCCCCTTGAACAGGCCCATAGAGTACAGTGGAAGTGATGCTACATGACTTTCATGGCTAGATGACAAAAATGTCATGTATTTTCACCTTGTTCTCTTAGGGTGCTCACTCTTGGAATCCAGCTGTCATACGGTGAGGAAGCTCACACTAGCCCACGAAGACGATGCACGTGGAGAAGTAACCAGTTCAGCTGAGGCCCCAGACTCGGAACCAAGGGATACACAAGGGATACACTGTGCCTTGTTTGACTTTCTGGCCCACAGAATCGTGAGCATAATAGAATGACTTCTTTACACCACTTAATTTGGGGTGGTTTATTATGCAGCAATGGTAAATGGAACAACCACACAGAGCTTAACATCTAACAAGGAATATTGAATATGTGACTCCAAGGTATTGCCTACACCTAACACATGCTTTTGAACTGTGGTGTTGGAGAAAACTTTTGAGAGTCCCTTGGACTGCAAGGAGATCCAACCAGTCCATCCTAAAGGAGATCAGTCCTGGGTGTTCATTGGAAGGACTGATGCTGAAGCTGAAACTCCAGTACTTTGGCCACCTCATGCGAAGAGTTGACTCATTGGAAAAGACCCTGATGCTGGGAGGGATTGGGGGCAGGAGAAGGGGGCGACAGAGGATGAGATGGCTGGATGGCATCACTGACTCGATGGGCATGAGTTTGAGAAAACTCTGGGAGTTGGTGATGGACAGGGAGGCCTGGCGTGCTGCGATTCATGGGGTTGCAAAGAGTCAGACATGACTGAGCAACTGAACTGAACTGAACACAGTTAACTGGAATAATAACTGGGTAATTATTTGTTGCATGTGTGAGATAGCTGTTATTATGCCCCTTTGGCACATGAGGAATTGAGCTTTGAGAAGTTTTAGCAACTTGCCCTAGGTCTCTCAACTGGTTTGTGGCAGAGTAAATTAAAACTCAAATCTAAACCCACTCCTAATACTACACGCTAATGTCTCCTTCAGTACTTACAATTTTACACGGATTTTACAGTAATCTGCTTTAAAATGGGACTGTCAGTACTTCAAAAACATTTTGGCCCAACAGAATTCCCTGTGGTTTCATCACTGAGATGGAAACCCACATATCACCTTCCCAGAGAAACCTCCCCTGAACTTCCTAGCTCAAGTAATGTCAGCTCCCTCATCCTTTCTCAGTCTTTCTACTCCATCAGTTTCCAGAACTCATCCCTAGCTGAAATTATCTTGTCTATTAATTTGTTCATGTACCTACCCTCCTGTCTCTCTGAATTGAACATAAACTTCATGAGAGCAGGAACCTTATATGTCCTGTCCACTCCTATATCCCTGGTGCCTAGGATCATGCCAGGAATATGGTAGGTAATCAAAAGTTATTTACTGAATGAAGGCATGACTGCATTCAGGTGCACTGAATGTCCACCCAATCTCATCACCCACCAATAAATGTGCAAACAGGGAGGATAAAACACAATTTAGAACAGCAGGGCTGTAGTAAAGACATTTCATACAGTAAGGTCAGTACAAAAACAAAACAAAAGAAAAAAGGAAGGGAAAGGAAATACACACTACCACACAACCACCTAGAAAAAGTGTAAACCCTGAGTTCCAATAAAGATGTAGACAATGGGATGGATGGAGCGTGGGGGTCAAACCTCTTGTTCCCCATTCATAAGCGACAGTCCCCTCACGCTTCAAAAGAATCAGTTTCTTCAGACACACTCACTGAACCACACCAAGGACAATTTTTGATGACCGTCTAACATCAGACCTGTGACCCTTCATCCAGTCCTTCCTTTTGTATCAGTCACTGCTCCCTGGGATGCAGGTACTGTTCCCTACAAGGTAAGGAGGCAGTAACCTAGCTCTTCAGGGAAGAGGTGAGGAGGGAAATCTTCAGACCCAGGGCAAAGATCCAAATATGCAGGTCCCCAAAGGTCCTACTTCTCCCAGGAGGGAAGGTAACGGTGCCCGACGACCTACCAGGTGTTAGGCAGTATGCTGCTCTCTTAAACATGTTTTTCGAAATATAAAGGCCATTTCTTATCCCAACCCAAGAATTTAGGGAGGCCTCAAGTAAAACTTCCCCATCTCAACATTCCCCAGACCACTACTCCTTACCCCAAACTCCAGGAGCAGTTGGAGAGGATATAAAGAAATCTAGCGTGGCCAGAGACAGAACGGGAAAGGAATCGTATTAGGACAAGAAGAGAGTTGTACTGGGCTAGGGCCCAGGATAAGTAAAGATTAAGAAAAGAATGCAGTCTGACCCTTTCCAAGCCCATTAGGTCCACCAGAAGAGGTGACGAGGAGCAGGAAACTGAAGCCCAGCAAACAGGTGGCCCCGAGACGAGGCCGCAGCTCCATCGTGGTAGGTGTGCGGAGCCACTGCGCTGAGCAGACGTAGAGCCGACGAGGTCCTAGAAGGTCCGAGCGGTTTCCCAAGTGCGGATCAGCCCAGCCGCTAGCGTTCCCAGATTTTTTTTTTTTTGTCTCCCTAACCCTGAAGGAAGTGATGTTAGACGGATGTGGGTGGTGCCTCCCGGGTCCGGTTTGGGACGGAGTGAGACTTTAAAGGTGCAGACCACGTAGAAGGTTGCGGGAGTTGCTCTGGGGCGCTATTTGCTTCGCCCCAGGTTCTGGACGTTTAGTCCGAGGACCAAGAAAGAAAAGATGGGCCGAGATAGTGGGGGTGGGGAGGAGGCTCGGGAGAACCGTTGCTGGTTAAGTTCCCCAGCAAGCTAGCCCCTCCCCCTCAAGAACCACTGCACTTAATATTCACTACGCAAATTACTGATCGGTGAAGTCAGCCGCTCCCAACCGTGGGCCGGTTGCCCATTGGCTCCGGATCCCCCTTTCCCCACCGCAAAAAAAAAAAAAAAGAAGAAAAAAAGGCAGACCACTGGACTTCATTCTCAGGTTACTGCTCAGGTCTGGCACAGGTCTGCCAAACCTGTTTTGCGGTGCATGGTCTCGTGCCTGCAAGAATGCCCCTTCCTGCTAGGGAAGAAGCACTGGACTTTATTATCCCTTGTAACCTAAATTCTTCCTCTCAGGGATGATGCAACCAACTGAAGCAAGCTCCGAGAAAACCAAACTTGGAATCTCTCATTGCAAAACTGACCTAGCTCTTCAGGGCGCCAGGTCATAACTCACTGCAGGTACTTAGAAGTGCAAAGCTTCTTCTTACATCTACTTGTTTTTGTTGTTTTTAAACTGGGTTATTTCTGTTTTCCTCTCTGATGCATAGCAAGGTCCCGTCTCTCCTCCGGATTGGAGGCTAATTGAGTCCCCACACTAGTGAGTTCGCCCTAGTTAAGTTTGGCAGTGCGTGTGCGTACTTAATGCCTAGTGAAAAGACAACCGGCAAAAGGACAAACCTAAACAAAAATACACACCTCCCCTTTATCAGGTTCCCTACAAATTGCAGGCACGGACACAATGGAACTCCAGGGGGACTGCAAGCTCCAGAATGCAGCGCGGCCACCTGCACCTGCCTCGTTTCTATTGGGAGGCGCAGAGCGGCTTGGCCTTTGTCGTTCGTACATGCGCTCCCAGGATAGGCTGCTCTGGTGAGAGAGAGGCGGGGCAGGATGTGTCACGTGGGTCCCACTCCCGCCGCCGCGGCCGCCTTCGTCTTTCTCTGTCTCGACTGAGGCAGCCATCTTGCTCTTGCCGCGTGCTGGTGTTGGAGGACCCTCCTTGCTTCAGGTGAGACCCCCGGCGGTCCCGCCACTCCACGGCCATAGGCCGCTGCGCACGGTCTCCCCCCGCCCTCTTCTTCCGACACCCGCCAACAGCTTGGGCTGCCACTTCCGCCGTGGCGCGCTGAGTGGGGGCGGAAGCGGCTGGCTTGGCCTGTCGGTTACCGGCGGCGCAGCTGGGGGTCTGCACCTGAGGGAAGGTCCCCAGCACCACCGCTTTCCGTGGGGGCGAGCGGGCCAGCGCTGTTGCCGCCCAGATCAAGTCCCAGGAGGCAGGTGGTCCCCCGCCTCTGTTCTGTTACTCCTCATTATTCACAACAATAACGCTGTGAGCTTTATACCATCTATCTGCTGTCATCTCATTTGATCCTCCCACTCGACAGCTAAGGAAACTGAGGCTAGCAAGCCCCGCCCCCAGGCTCTGGAGACCGTATTCCATTGCATTGCTCTTCACCTTCTAATGGCAGGATTTGTTTACAAGCCTGCCACCCTCTCTGAAACATTGCCTTGCCCATCATTCTAGCCTTATCACACTGCCTGGTGCATAGTAGGCTGTCAAGAAGTTGATGATTGACCGACAGGCGGTGTTACAAATCTAGTGAATAGTGGTTTCAACTTCCGTTCCCACGGTCTTTCACTGTACCAGCTCTGTCCCTTGAGTGGTAACAATAGTTACCAGTGTTTGACTATCTGCTGTGAGCCATACCCTGTGCTTGATAACTTAATCTTTAACTCTGAAAACAAAAAATACTGTGAAGTATGTGGTGTTACACTGTTTTAATACGGAAGGAATACAAGTTCAGAGAAGTAAAATAAGTTTCTGAAGCTCTAAGTAGTAGACCCTTGATCCTTCTGATTCCAAAGCCTGTGCCTCTCTTAGAGGCCACATAATAAAAAGTAAGGGTTAAAGATTAAATTTATTTTATCTCGTGTAAAAATGAGGTGTGTGTAAGTGCCTACTATAATGCTTAAAACTTAGGCACTCAGTAAATGTTGGTTATAACCTCATTATTTGCACCGTTTCTTGCATCCTTGAGGAAAAGACTAAAAGATCTTAGGATCCCCAAGGAAGAACTCACGAATCATGGCCTTAAGAAGTTACTTCTCCCTTCTGGGCCTAGGAGGACTTTTATTTCCAAATCTGTTAAATTGGAAGGAATGTGAGCTGTTTTGTGTATTTCTGATTTAAACCCTGCTCCTGCTTTCAGGTATTTCAGATGACATCCTATACAGGACAGAAATAACAGGTACAATAAAAAGAAAGGTTGACTGAGGAACAGGGAGTTAAAGCAGATGATCTTTGAGGTCTATTCCAGATTCTGAGCTTGACATCTTTTCTCTCATAAACTGAATCCAGTCCATTTTCTTACTTGAATTCCATGCACCCCAACCTGGTAGTAGACAAAGAACCACTTTTCTTCTTCCTCTCCCAACTTTGAACTTCTAGCCTCCCTAAAATGCTTTTTCTCTGAGGTACTCCTTGAGAACAAGTTTTTGATTATACTTATTACCTAGAATGGACTCTGTTCTTGTTTGCACATTGATTTAAAGAGTTAATTTTGTTCTGGCTTTGTTTCAGACAGATCAGGGCTCTATTTTGACTTCCAACTCTTCCATCTCTTCTCTTGGGGATTGATACTTCAGAATGCAGAATAGTCCCAAAAAGTTTATCTTGTATCTGGTTCTAATATTTTCACTTATCCCCTTTTTTGATAAAAAATTCCTTAGGCTCTTTGTTAGTTCGCTACACCTTCATGGCCGCATTACTTTGAGAACAGTGAATTTTGGTCCTTTTCTATAGAAACTGACTGTAGAGATTGGGATTTACATCAGCAAATTTAAGTCAGTGTCAGATTTAAGTGTCAGTGTCAGATTTAAGTTGAGATTGCCACACACTTAAGCTTTTTGATTTTGTACTCTATTCACACTCCTATAAAAGAATTTTTTTAGCTGCTTGAGCATTGTGATACAGTGCTAAGTAAAGACTGAAGAATTGTAAATTCTAAATCTTATATAGGAATGGGACTTCGCCCTTAAAGCAGAAAGATACACAGGTTTGTATCTTAAGTACAGTGTCAGAATACAGAATGATTAGTACTTACATAATCTTTGATTCTTTCATTTCTAAAATGAAGAAAACAATATCTTTTTCATCTGGAAGATGTTTATAAAGAGTTTAGAGAATCAACCAAAAAGTTTTGACAACAGCCTTACCCTTTATTCCCTCTGCTGTATCTCAGTAGTGATCTGTTGATCTAAGAACAAGTAAAATAAGATTTTTAACATTGGCTTTTATTTGTTTATATAGTGTGGAATGTTATGACCCATTATAAACTGAACTTTTTTTTCCTTAGTAGGAAAGGGCTGAACAGATTAGGATTCTTGACTTTATAATGAACTTAGAGTTTTCAAAATCAAGATTAGCCTTTAAAAGTTTATTTTTAAGATTCCCCTCTTCCCCGCAAAATTTCTTATTAATGTAGCAGAGATAGGTTTTTGTCAAATTGTGCAAGGAGGCATTTTACCTTATGTGCAAGACTGTCTTGACAGTTACGACATACTATGTTAGTGCAAGGTGTTGAACGAACTCTGTGGAAAGTGCTGCAGAAGCACCGAATGTCTGAAAATCTGGTTCTCTTTTCCTATTATTAACATACCACCTAACCTTGAATATAGGATGCCATGACTGCCTCATATCTTGACAGCTAGATAGCCTATTGAATTTTTTTCTTCGTCCAGATTTTTCTTTCTTTTGTCTTCTATGATTTAAAAAAATAATACAGAATATGATTTGAGAGGGGAAAAAAAGTTGTGCTAATTTGCTAACGGCTCTCTTCTGTAAAAATCTTTGGGGAAGAAACTGGTGTACCTACAGAGATTTTAGAATTGGTTAGGTTTTATTGAGTACCAAAGTACCGAATTACACTTTTAAGGAGGGATCTTCAAATAAGTAACTTTGAATCTCAATTCTATTTTCTGTTTGTATATACAGCTCCCTCTTGGTATTTCTTAATTTTGGTTCTTTTGCTATCTGACTTATGAAGCTAGAAAAAAATTATTAATATTTTTAAAAATATAGACAATATTGTCATGGTGGTGGTGCATATTACAGGTTCAGTGAACCAGAAGGTACTGTTGTATAAACAGTTATTTTGTTTTGGTAAATAAAACAGTGACTTTAACAAATTTATTTTTCCCCCCCTAGATTTACCAACAGCATGAATCAAGAAAAGTTAGCCAAACTTCAGGCTCAGGTCCGGATAGGGGGCAAGGTGAGTGTGGCATAAGAAAAATTGATAGGAGAATGTGTTATTACCAGATAGTATTATTATTTTGGATTTGTGGTCACTGAAAATCTAAAATTTTTAAAATTAATCAAGATTAAACCACATTCCAATTTGAAAATAACTTGTCTAGATCTAAAATAGGTAATTAGAAGATATCTCTCTGATGGGTACAATTGAAATAGCCACCTTTGACACTTTTTAACATTCTGGTGGTTAAATGATATGAACAAGTTATTTAATCTTGCTAAGCTTCCATTTTTGCATCTGTAAAATAAAAATGATCCTACATAAGATGCTTCTAAATATTAGAGTAATATTTATAAAACACTTCAAACAGTGTCTGACACAGACTAGACACTTACTAAAAGACAGCTGTTATTATGTTAGACCCACCCTCAGATATTCCTGGATATTGAGGTTACCTTATCTTGACTTGATACCCCTACTGCTTCAGTTAGGTTTACAATGGGAGATGCAAAAGCTAATGGTACCTTTGTTCATTGCTAGGTTTTCCTCCCAAATTGTTACTTCTTTTTCTATGTTGGTGAATGTGAACATGAGCATTCTTATTCCATGTACTTTGAAACTTAAGGGAGAGTTAGTTCTGATCACTGAAAATCTTTGATTCCCTTCAGTTCCAACCCTGGGCTCAAAGAGAATATTCTACCTTTATCTCTGCTCAATACAATCTATGTAAAAGGAAAAGCAAGAATAGTATTTACCTCAGACCTAGGGAGGGGATAGGTGGGACAGTGTGTAGCAGCCCCACTCTGTCATTTACTTTGATAATAACTATAGCTCCTGAGGATAGGAACAGGAGAGGGGGAAGGGAAGAAACAACTAGTATTAATACTTTCTCCTTCTTTCCTAGTAATAACAGTTATCTGACTCCAGAGTCATAGCAACAAATTCATGTAGCTAAAATACTAGTGACATTGTAGCAGGAAGTAATGTAATGTATCAGTGCAAAAATTAGGACTATTTAAGAAACACATACCTAGAAGAGCTTGATACAGCACATCACTATTGTATATTTTAAGCCAGAAGGTTGGCACAGTTAGTCAGCTGGTTTATTGAGCAACTGCTATGGGCCAAGCACACAGTAGATAAGTAAGTCAAGGTTTCCTGCTCTTGACACAGTTCAGCTTGGAAGGGAGATGCACTCACAATTACACTGCTACTGCTACCGCTGCTAAGTCACTTCAGTCGTGTCCGACTCTGTGCGAGCCCATAGACGGCAGCCCGCCAGGCTCCCCCGTCCCTGGGATTCTCCAGACAAGGACACTGGAGTGGGGTGCCATTTCCTTCTCCAGTGCATGAAAGTGAAAAATGAAGGGAAGTCGCTCAGTCGTGTCCCAACTCTTAGCGACCCCATGGACTGCAGCCTACCAGACTCCTCCGTCCATGGGATTTTCCAGGCAAGAGTACTGGAGTAGGGTGCCTTTGCCTTCTCCGCACAATTACACTACAGAATAGTAAATATTAAAATGAAGTTTAAGGTGCACCTGATTCAAGGAAGTCATCACTGAGCAGAGATTTGAAGAATAAACAACAGGTATGAGAACAAGTAGATAGGGTGAAGGGGGAAGATTGTTATTCTCACACATGCAAATGCATATAGGATGCTAAGATGCTTAGTGGATGGCATGATGCTTAGTGGAATGGCTTGCTTTAATTTGTTACAACTAGAGTTTATAATGGATAAAGAATGGCAGCAAATGAAACAGGTAATTTAGAGTCAGATCATAGTTTTGTGTGTCACACTAAGGAGATTAGGATTTTATCCCATAGGCAAGGTCAACTACTGAAGAATTTTAAGAAAAAACAGTAACAGTGATTTTAAAAGGTAGATACTGGCATTGTGGAAAATGAAATAAAACAAGTTTGGCATAGAGGAGAAGCTACAGCTTGTAGTATGTGGGACACAAATTTAGGGGTTGTATATGACACAACTTAATGATGGATAGAATGTGGGGAACAGAGGTGAGAGAGGAGTCTAGGATGGCCTCCAAATTTCTGGTCTTAGAGCTATGAAAATTAGGAAGTATAGGAAGAATATTTTGGTGGGCTGATGAGCTTATAGACAAGTTGATTTTAAGGTACATAAGGATCATTTAAGTTGTAACCAGCAAGCAGTTGAATCCAGAACACTTCACAGATTAATGGCCATCTATCTTAATAGTCTCTCTTAGTCCATCCTTTAACTTGATTTCATTACAAGCTCTGTTGCTACTCATGGGGCTCTCTTCCACTCCCACCGGAGTTTCTGAGACTAAGCCTGCCTACCCTTTATAAGGCTGATTTCCTGAGTAGTGTTGGCTCAGGAGTTTAATTCATTGTCTTAAATAGTTTTTCAATGGAAAAAATTATTTAGAGTTTCAAAATATCCATTTAGAAGTGAAGTTTTCCTATCTCAATAAATAGTATAATTTTCAACCCATTTGCTCAGGTCAAAATTCTAAACATCATTCTAGATTCCGTTTTTCCCTCATATCCCATATTTAGTCCATCAGCAAGTCCTTTTGGTTCTTCTGACTATCTTAGCTCTATCTCCACTGCCACAACCCTCATCTCTCGTCAGGACTTCTACAGTAGCTTCCTGACTGATCTCATTATAGTTCATTTTCCACAGCAACCTCAGTCATCTTTTAGAATCATAAATCAGAACAAACCATTCTCATGCTTAAAACCTTCCAGTAGCTTCCTATTGCAGTTGATATAAAGCCCAGTTCCTGCTCGTGGCACATTAGGCTACGTGATCTGGCCCTTGTCAGTCTTTCTGATTTCATTTTCCTCTACCTTTCCCATTATTTATTCTAGTCATACTGGTCTGCTCTGTCTAGAAATGACAGGTTTACTCTTGTTTCATTTTTCTTGGATCACTCTTCCCCTAAATCTTTTCATAAGTCTCAGCTCATACGCCACCTCTTCAGAGGGACCTTCCCTGAGCATTCTAATAAAGTAGTGCTTTGCCCCGACCCAGTATTCTTGTTGCTATGTTATTTTTTTTTTCTTAATACATTTATCCTGTTTGAAATAATCTAATCTGTTTATATACTGATTTTTCCTTCCCATTGTAATGTATGCTCCTTGAAGTAAGAACTTGATCTTTTTCATTCCTAGGTTCTAGGACTCTAGAACACTCACATAATAGGCATTTACCTGTTAGGTCGTAATCTCCAAAGTTTCAGAATATCTTTAGAGGGTGGTAGATAGTATAAAAACCTTTCCTTATATTGTTGGAAAGTTGAAGTAAAGCGTACTTCAGGTTATTTTGAAGTTAAAAATTTTTTGTTAGAAAACACTTGAAACAATGTGTTAAAATGACAGAGGCTAGATATTGGAAAGAATGAGAAAAATTGGCTGGAAACTAACCTTCAAAAATCTGAGTTAGGCTGACAGTCATAACTCTGTGACTATGAGAAGTCTTTTTAACCATTACTATTAAGTCTGTAATTTTTTATGTGAGGTTTAGGAAGAATATTATGGAGAGGAAGACAAGTGATTACAATCATCAAATGCATGGTATGCTAATACTTTTGTTTGGTTATCTTTCAGGGTACAGCTCGCAGAAAGAAGAAGGTGGTACATAGAACAGCTACAGCTGATGACAAAAAACTTCAGAGTTCTCTAAAAAAACTGGCTGTGAATAATATAGCTGGTATTGAAGAGGTATGATCACTTTGAAAATTGTTATGTGGATAAACAGAACATTCACAAATAATTATCCAGACTTTCAAATGTAACATATCAGCTTAGATGAATCATATACTCACGTTTTGAAGGACTGGAGCTGTTGAATTTGCCTACTGTATAAAATTGGATTGTCAAAAAATGATTTTATTAGATGGTTAAGGAATTCATTATACTTTTCAGACTCAAAGTACTGGGTTGGCCAAAAAGTTTGTTCAGGTTTTTCCATACTGTCTTACTGGAAAACCTGTACGGACTTTTTGCCAACCCAATATTTGCATATATGACAAAATTATGGACCTACTCTTTAATTTTAATGTAAAATAAGATTTTTTCCTAATAATACAGAAATAAGGAAACCCAAAGATTTATTCCAATAAGTTGGACTTTTTTCCCATAAGAGTACCTTTCTGCTCTTCACAGACTCTCAAATTATTACTCAGAAAGCTCCCGCAGTAGCTTTACATGAATTGCATTTATTAGACCATTTCAAAAACTATTAATTTAAAAATTATTTTATTTTGATGATACTACTTTTCTCAGATCGGAAGCCAAAGATTGATATGCAAGAAAAATCATCATAACACCAACTATTTGTGATCTGTTACCGTCTAGATCTACTTCTACCTGATGATTCCATTTTTGATAATAGTGTTTAAATTTTAACTACTATCAGATTTCATTACATCATTACCAGGTGTAGTACTGCCTCACAAGTTTTAGTAGATTATTAATGCACATGTGCTGTAAAACGTAGATCAGAAACAATGTAGAGGTGAGGATCACTATTAAAGAAATAGAAGAGTAACAAAGAAAAGGCAGTGAAATGGCAAAGTGCCACATATTCTTTCCATCTCGGATATATGAACAAATAAATATATTGTTTAAATCTGCTTTATACTTTCAAAATTAATGTACTGATAAAATAGTAGGGAAGGTAAGTCACATGTATCTTTTTTCCTTATAGCTTGATATGGCTGTGCATTCTTATTCTGATAAGTATTAAAACTTCATTTGCAAGTCTTGAAATTAAGCATATAAAATGCTTTTTTTTCCCCTGAGCTATTAAAAGCTTTCATATATTTTCATTGACCTAAAATAATTTCCAGAGAGAGCATTCTCTATCTGGGACATAATTGAGAAAAAGCAAATCTAAGCTTCTCTTTAAAAATTACAGCTTCACTAAAAAAAAAAAAAAATTAGTTGCAATAATGGACATGAACTCTGATAATATTAAACCTAACCTACTAATAAGTGTTTAGGCAATCTTATATCTTTGCCTGTCTTTCTACTCTCCCAACTCCTACCCCTCCCCACTCAATCTCAACACTATTCGACGCTTTGAACCAAATAATTCTTTATTGTGAAAACTGTCCTATGCATTCTAGGATGTTTGGCAGTATTCTTGGAGTCTCCCCACTAGATCTTCAGTTACGACAACCAAAAATGTCTCCAGACTTTGATGCCAGTCCTTCTGGGGGGCAAATCACCCTTTGTTGAAAACACTTCTTTAGAGAGAGGAAAAGATTTTAGTTACCTCCTTGAAGTACATATTTTATCTCCAAGGGCATGCTTTTCTAAATGTTTGATTTTGTTCGGATTTGGAAAACTCTCTGGCTCTTATAATTAATAAAACTTTTAGTGTTTTATAGTGAAATAACAAACCAGTCAGTTAGCAGTCTTTGATCTCTTCTGAATATAATCAAACCTAATTATAATGCTGTGCTGAGGTCATAGTAGTTTTGTAGTTCAAATTATCATACTGAATATTTAATGGTAGTGAATATCTGCTGTATGCCAAGCATTTTGCTAGGCAGTGGTGCATAAGATATTATTCATAGTCTCTGTCCTTTAGAGCCTAACATCTAGTAGGGAAACTAATTAGTCAGCTTAGCCAGATAAACAAAATATGTATTATGCATTTCAGCTCCAGGGTATCTCTTTGGATTAGTTATTGTTAGTTACAGATAAGAAAGTTGAGACTTAAGAGAGTCAGGTACCTGCTCAAGATAACATAGCTGGTAAGTGTTGAATTCCAGATTTGAGCTAAGTATGTCAAAACGAGAGTTCATTTTATTCATTGATTTATCTTGCTTTGGTCTTCTTAGTTACACTTAGGCCCACTCTTGACCTTTCCCTCTCCTCCAGCTCCTCCTTCCTGTCCCCACCAAAGAAAGGGACAGTACCCGCCTTATCCTGTATTATTGAGTACCTGCCATGCAGAATTCATTACTTACACCATCATAGATAAATGAAATTCCCAAAAGTATTTCTAAGGACATTGCTTTTTCTCCTTTTCAGGTATTAATGTAGGTGTTATTTTGTCCCAGAAGTCTTCCTGGTAGCACACATACACATTTATGCAAAGAGAGGTTAGATGTCTTTCTTATGTACCTCCATAATGCCCTGTATTTAATTTTATTACAGCATATATTAAACTATATTGTTAATTCATTTTTGTTGGTGTTGCCAATGCAATTCTGTTTGGAGAGTCATAGCTCCAAAATGTTGCACAGAAACTTAATGGTACATATAGGCATATACCGATGCAATGGACATGAACTTGGGCAAACTTAGGGAGATAGTGAGGTTCAGGGAAGCCTGGTGTGCTGCAGTCCATGGGGTCACAAAGAGTCAGACACAACTGGACGACTGGAAACAATAGCAACAATAGACATGTACACACTCTTGTTGCACCCCTATCTCCATATGGGTACACAAGTGACGTCTTCCAGTCCTCACAGACTAGTTATACAGAGAAAATACACATAAAGAAAATTAACAACATGAAGTAACAGCTATAAAATTTCTGAATGTTTGAGCCTAAAATGGGAAGTTTTACTTTTTTCCTTCTTTCCCTCTTTCTAAAATTGATTTTTTGAGAACCAAGATATTTGTACTTTATATAACACTTTGCAGATCTAAAATAATTTTATTTAGGCATATCTAGTATACTGTATATAATCTCGTTTGCCTCAAACATTATGTTTGTGTTACTATAATTAAACAATTTTTTTCTTCAAGAAAATGACAACACACACTTTAAAAACTTTAAAAACAGAAAAAAGAAACTACTACCTTAAATGTATACATGAATACATGCCATTTTCAGAAACATTAAAATAGGAAAAAATATATATGTCTTAGAATAAACACATTAATTACAGTTTGGCTGTTTTGAACTTTTTCAAAGTGCTAAACTCTGGAATATACTATCTTCTGGGGTTTTGGCAGTTTAAGGAAAGTAGATAAAAACTTTTGAAAAGAGCAGATAGGAATGGTAAGAGAAGATAGCAATGGTAACATTTTAAGACAAAAATAACATTACTATGTTTTCTATCCTTTGACCTTCAAAACATCAAACCAGTAGAAAGTAATCAGTTTGGTGGCTTGGGCACAGAGAGATCAGTGGTGGGTTTCAAAAACTCATTGCACTTTTGCCTAGTAAAATTCTAACCTTACTTTCTAGGCCTTCAGTATTGGAAATTATTTTTTCCTCTCCTAATGCTTCCTTTATGTCCTCTTCAAATATGTAAAAGCTAAAGGACTGTTTGAATTAAGAGGGACTTCTCTGATCCTTTATGTATTAATTAGTTGTTGGTTTGAGGTAATAAGTTTAATTGTATGTAGATTTCTTTTAGCTGTCACCAAAGACAGAAATCCAAAGCTGTCAGAAAGCGGCAGGGGAGTGCCAAAGACTGTTTCATACAAAGAAGCCAAGTAACTAACCAGGTTTTAGGAAGGAATGCCTATGTGAACTCTGAGAGTATAATTCAGAACTCAGTTCCTGAAAAATTCTTACATTCTATGGCAGTTGAAGATACTTAGATGTGCTGCTTCTTTGATAATTTGATGGACTATAGAGGCGGTGTTGTCACCCTGATGATAACATGAATCTATCAAAAGTAGAATCTGTTTTCTTTTCTCAGAGACGATTGATTTTATCCGATGTATTTGGTAAGAAATGTCACCAAAAATCTGCTTCTCTGGTTCAGATGGTTTAGTTGCTTCGTGGAGTTTTACTGTTATCTTCAGAGGACAGTTTCTATCTTAATTAAGGTATACTCTGTCTCTGTGAAACCTTCCCTTCTTTCCAGGCATAATAATCAACACTTTTTCTGTCCTTCCACTCCCCTTAACTTAAATTGCTCTGCTAGAATATGTTTATTATTACAACCTCATATTGTAAGGTATGATTACTTACTTATTAACCAAGTAGTCTGTTTGCCGTAGTCTCTTGCTTACAAGAGTCTTGACAGCAGGAACTGTGTTTATTTATCATTTATAGTCTATAGCATGCTGACTCCCATGGACATCCCAGGTTGTTTGGGGCCTGTTAAATGTAAGAGATACTGATTATTCTAGGTGAAATTGTTGAGCAAGAAGTTAGTCATAGAGAGCTGGAGCTCAGGAGAAAACTTAGGACTGGGAATTTAAATTTTGTAATTGTACACATAAGTTTTACTGTTCATATTTTCCTTTTCTTGAACCACTTGTACAGAAAAAGGACTTAAAGTTCCTAAAGTTACTGGTTGACCCTTACTGTAGTTCCTTCTTCCTTCAACCTAGAGAGTCAGGTGCCAATGGGTGTACAGCTCTGAATGCAGGAGAATTAAAGAGGAGCACTCTGTCCCATTAACCTTATTATTACATGGCAGTCTTAGTTTCTTTGGATATCTTGCTTTTTTTTTTTTCCGGCCGTGCTGCCAGCAGGTGGGATCTTAGTTCACTAAGCAGGGATTGAACCCATACCCCTCAGTGGAGCATGGAGTCTTAACAATAGGACTACAAGGGAAGTCCCAAATACCCTGCTTTTTTGGCTTTATGTTTTTCCACATTTTTATGTGGAAATAAACATAGCATAAAATCTGCCATTTTAACCTTTTTTTCCATTCCCTATGTGCAAATCCTCTTTTAGCCATTTAAAATTTAAAAAATTTAACTATTTAAAATTTTTTAACCATTTAAAAAATTGAATT